TAGGGAAAGGAGGCAAGAAATGTAAAACTAATGCAAAATAGCTGGGAAGGAGGGCAAACTCACTGATAGCTAATACGTTAACACTGGGTTAAATAAAGAATGGGATATGCTGGATTTAGATTGCAGCTAGGATGGATCCAGTGTTCTCTCTGCTCTAGCAGTAGATGTGAAGGTGCATATTCATTTTCAAAGAATGGCTGATGCTGCAAGATGTAGAATGCAGAATGTTTCAGTGCCTCCTGGGCCAGATTTGGGGTGTGTTAATCCGTGGCTGTGGGGCTCCAACTCTGCCCTTTTAAAAAAAAAAAAAAAAAAAAAATTGATGCCCAGTTTCCACCCAAACTGTCTGTGGTAGTACTTATAACACTATTCATGTAGCTACAGGTGGGCTCACCTATTTTGTAATCAGATGCTTGTTTTCACGAGTCACAGCTATTAATTCAAATGGATCTAAAGGTGCTGATGCATTCTTAAGCCCTTGTATTCATGTAGACCTCCTCAATGTGAAATAAAGCAAAATAAGTTGATGCATGAGCAAGGCTTTCTCCAAGGGAGCAGGGTGCCCTGGGTTGGGTCCAGCAACTTTGTACCACTAGAGATTTAGGCTCGTATTTCCACATAACTGCATGGTTTTTTGCTTGTGCCACTTAAAGTGAGAAGAGCTGTTATAAGGGATAGACTGAGACTAGGGTTGCTTCTTGTCTTCTGGGCTATAGCCTTAAGCTGCTGTGGTGTGTCTGTCCCTTCTCCCTTCTGCACAGTTCCTCAGCTCTGGAGGAAACTATGCAGAGCATAAGCATAAAATAGTTGAAATACTTAGATTGCTTTACTGGAGACACTGGCGAAGAGGGAAATGTTATGGGATTATGCTGCCTTTCAGGACGTACAACAACTTAGATATCTCTTCTGAGGCCTCTGTTTTGGTGAGAAGTGACTCAAACCCTCATATTAATTCAAGATGCTGACTGTTTGCGGTTGTTCTGTTTCAAAACCCTACTGCTCTAGGCATGGGAGGCATTCATGTCTTGGAGTGCGTTAGAAGTTAAATCCCTGGAGTAGTTCAAAGTAGTCATGTTACCTCTCTCTACTCCTTTCCCAAAGATTCTTGAAGCCTCTTCCCTCTAACTCTTTAAAAGGGAATAGAGGTTTAAAATTATGCCTGTTTCTTTAAAACAAAATGTTTTGATTGGAATGTGTAGCTGCAGAAGTGTGGGGGAAGGTGTAAATCCTATTAATGACAGAGGCTGCAGGAAGATACACTCAGGAGGGTAGGAAGAAGAGCAAAACGCATGCTTCTGAATGAGCGTTGCAGCTACAAAGGTGCCTGCCAGGTGCCAAGCAACAAAGCGCGTGCATTATCACTATTTGTGTGTTTGTGGGAAGCATCAGGAGTCTTCGTGTGCATGAGTCACTCCAGCAGCAGCTGTGAGTCAAATCCATACATGTCAGCGTAACTTTGGCTGTGCCAGCACTGGGAAGGAGCAATTGGAGGCATCATGGGATGGGAGAACTGCCTTGCAGAAGTCCTCTGATATTAGCTAGGGAAGAAATGAGACTTGCAGAAAATGTAATGTCATCTGAAGCTTGACTATATGGCGACACTATTTCAGGTAAGCTTCTTTGCTGGCTGAGCGGCTTCTGATAATGTCCTGGACTCTAATACCAGAGCTACTTGGTAGTCTAGGATCCTCTAAACTTAGACCCCCATACCTGAAAATATCCTCTGTGACCACCTGTGATTTGTTGGTTTAACTAAACTTTTATTAGGATGTCAGCTATTGAGGGCAGCGCTACTGTAGAGAATAAAAGAAAATGAAGTGGTGGAACTTGCTGGAAGTGTGGTTGCTTCTGTTATGGATGGAAAAAATAATGTGTGAATGTGTTTTTGATTGTGCAACAACAACAACTGCCTTGAAACACTGAAATGAAAATTTCCCTTCCAGGTGCTTCTGTGGCGCACTTGCACCGCAGAATTTGTGGGCTGGAGGAGTGCTAGTCCTTGCCCTGCACATGGGAACTGACGATTACTGCAGTTTCCAAGAGTTATGTGATATTATTAAGTGTGCTGGAAGAGGAACCTCTGGGGTACACTGAGTGGCATAGCAAGCTGAGCTACCTGTTCTACAGTTACACAGTTTTTAACAACTAATGTTTATAGTCACTGGTTTGGACAAGTTGCTGTTGTTTCCAAACCTTTGCTAATTTTCAGGGTTGATTATTTAATATATTGAAGGTGTTGCTTTTGCTATTATTTTTTTTTCTTGGGACTTAACTCTGTTGTAGCAAAATTTTTTCTGGGCAAGAAAAATAGAAAACCTGGAAGGAATAACCTGATTGTTTCAATATTATTATTGTTTATCTCTTCCTCCCTCAGGATGACAATTGGGGTGAGACCACGACAGCAATCACAGGCACCTCTGAGCACAGTATTTCCCAGGAGGACATTGCCCGGATCAGTAAGGATCTGGAGGACAGTGTTGGGTTGGACTGCAAACGTTACCTGGGCTTAACAGTGGCAGCTGTTCTCGGACTCCTCGTCTTCCTTACCCCCATCGCCTTCATTCTGTTACCCCAGATCCTGTGGCGGGATGATCTGGAGCCATGTGGTACTGTCTGTGAGGGACTGTTCATCTCTGTGGCATTTAAACTCCTCATTCTTCTGATCGGGACCTGGGCTCTGTTTTTCCGTCAGCCTAAAGCAGATATACCAAGGGTGTTTGTGTTTCGGGCCCTTCTGTTGGTCCTCATATTCCTGTTTGTGTTTTCCTACTGGCTCTTTTACGGCGTTCGCATCTTGGACTCTAAGGACACCAACTACCAAGGAATAGTGCAGTACGCAGTGTCTCTGGTGGATGCTCTGCTCTTCATTCACTACCTGGCCATTGTGCTGCTGGAGCTACGGCAGCTGCAGCCCATGTTCACTGTCAAGGTAGTTCGGTCAACGGACGGAGAGTCACGATACTACAGCTTGGGGCACTTGAGGTAGGTACAAGCTCTTGAAGTCCAGCAGTATAGCTAAGTGTGGCTATGCTGTAGCATGAAGCATCAACTGCTTTTGCACATGTGATACTACTGGTTTCCGAATCTTCCCCCAGAGGAGTCCTAGAGTCTCTCCAAAGTTACCAAACTGAACCTCTCTTCCTCTTTGCAAGGGTGGGAGAGGTTGTCCTTGCTTCAGAAGAGGCCTGTGCATTTCTGTAAATGAAAAGAGCTGATGGCACGACTTGAGGCTGGTCATTGGGCTAAGTCTGATGAGATCTTTAAGATCCTTCTCTGGGCTTGTTGCCCTGTTTCCTTACTGGAGGAAAAGGGAGAGACCACCTCGTGTAGCCGGTGCTGGCTTGTGCTCTTTGGCTCTATGGGGCAGGCGCTGCTTTGAGAGCAGAAAACATCGCTCCTTGAAGCCTCCTGCCAGCACGCCGATCCATATGGCAGGTGCTGAAGGAAGAAGTAAGCGTCCCTGTGTGAGAAAGCATTTGGCAACCTCACGTGCTATTGAAAACATCCGTTTGTCCTCATTGCCCTGTGCAGCCAAGAGTCATGCGAGGAACCTGAATAAACATCCCTCGGGTCGGATCGAGCATTATTGTCTGGATCCTGCGTGCGCCTTTTGTGGCCAGTTGAAATGCTTGTGTCCAGGCGTTTGTGCTCTGAAGCCTGTTACTGTGGCAGGCTGGGGCTACCTCAAAGGGCTTAGCCAAATAGCTACACCGTGGGATCTGAAGGCTGCTTCCAGTGACTGGGGACTCTTTACTTGTTTCTAAGGTTGGCAGTTTCCCACAGTTTTGTGTGGGCTTGAGGGAAATAGTGTTTTGTCCTGCTGACGCAGTTGCGTTGATGCAGTCAAAGTCTCCCAGCAGTTCAGGCATTTAGGAATAATTATTTTTAATGAATACTGGGGCACATGTAGGTGCTTTTTCTTTTTTTTCTTTGGCAGTGCTATGCTGCTCCTGGTTTGGTTTAGTAGCATGATCCTCTTTCTGCTATAGGTATGAATCAGTTTGCTGGGTCACATTATCTGGGAGCGTTTGGGAGCTGTGCAATATCCGTAGGCATGATGCATGCCTGCTTCCACTTTCCTCCTGGGGTTAATGCCTCCCTCAGCAAAGATACAAGAAAGGACAGGTGTCTTGATCTCCTTGGTTCCTGTGCCCTGTGAAGCTCTCTAGAAATCTCTTAGTTCCTGTGCCCTGTGAAGCTAGCAGCCAAGCCCTGAAGATGATTCCCCAGACTGCATGTGCACTTAAACATCTGTTCTGCTTATCCTGTCCAGACCCCTATGGCATGTGTATCTATTGCAGATGGAGAGATTAGTGTCTGCTGGTTTAAGTGGATGTAGGAACAGTCTCCTGCAGCCATTAGCTTAGCAATGGAATTGCTTTGAAGCAGATTTAGTGGTTGAAGCTCAAGTCTGGGAGTTGACTCCTGGATGTTGTTTCTGGATTACTGGAGGAACTTAAGGCCTTTTGGGTGAACTAGGTCTGGACTTCGCTGGATTTTCCTTCTCTGTAAAATGTGAAGGAGAGCCCCTCTTCTGTAATGGAGGTGCTCCCCTTGACTTAATGAAAGGTCACTTTCATGGTTTAAAAAAATGAACTAATCTGTATTGGTTTTCTTGTGAAACCAATTTTTTTTTTAACTTAAAAATTCCTCTGTGGTAAGTGACAGATCCAGCATAGTCTTTAAGGCTGGGGAGATGGAGAGATGACTACCAAAGAGCTCCGCTGTGCCACAGCTTTGTGCCTTGAGGTGTGCCAGGGTAGTTCTCGCGTGAATTCTGCAGTACGTGTATGTATATACACACACACAGTGTACAGGTTTGGTTTGAGAGTTATCTGGTTGCTTGGTGGCAGATTGTCAGTTTGTGTTCAGAGGAATTAAGATCCTATGCCTGACAAAGTCTGCATGCCTGGCTCTAACCATGTAAGTAATCTTGCTATCGGAGGCAAAGAATTTGCTCGAGAAACAAGGCCTATGTATTTAATAGCACATGCATTAGAAACTGTGTTCTCCCCAACTCTCTTTGCAGCAAGATTTTGAAGTGCCTTGGGTGATGCGAGGGCGGCAGAGTTGTAAAACTTAGGGTGAAATCGGAGATTTATGAAAATTAACAACTTCTCATTTGTTGGCAAGCTCATCGCAATCTTGTTTGGCATATTGAATCCAAACCATGCAGCGTTTAGATGCTTCAGTGTATTGTGTTACAGGAGAGTCTTGTCAAGCGTGTCTAATAATGGTAAACTAGTGTTGCATTTTTTCTTAGTCTCTGACAGATGAGTATAATGTGTATTGACACGTTTTGAAGCCTGCGTGTCTTTCCATCTCTGCTAATGTCAAGGTAAGACTGTGTAGGTTTGATCAGTGGCCGAGTGTCTTCCAACTAAGGGAGAGCTCTCTCTCTCTCTCTCCCTCTCCCTCTCTCGCTACAAGCAAAGGGAGAGTTAATTTGCGCATAAATGGTAAGAGCTGCTGGTCTTGATGTGGAATGTGGCTGCAATGTGATAAACACTGTAAGAAGTGAATGTAGTTGGTATGTCCTTCAACTTCTAAAGGTTTAGGATAGCGAGATGTTTATGGAAAACATGAGAGATTTGGGAACTTTTGAATATCTTCGCAGCATAATTTTGCAAAGTTTCCATAAAGGTCTTGACATGCTTGTTGGTGAAATGTCAGTCAGGGGCTGCCTTCTGCCTCTGCATGGCTCTCCGGCTGAGGCATGGGGCTGGAATGGGAGGTGAGAAAACATGGAGACATGCAAGGGCAGTTTGGATTATTTGGGAAGACTGGAGAAGCAGCCTTGTGGGTGTGCTGGAGAGGTGGTTGTAGCTATGATGGAGTATGCATATACTACTTGTTGCTGCCTCTGGGATCTCCATTTGCCACTATGCATACTTGGCTCACCCCAACACTTTTAAAGGGGTCTTAGGTGGTGGGCTGCCACCTGGAAGGAGGAAGCATGCTTTAACAGGTAAAGCAATTTGACTGCCTCCTGAAATCAACACCTGGCTGTCTGAGTCCAGCTTTTTGTCATCTTCATGCTCTCAAATACCTTAAAAGTTTTGCTCCCTGGCTGTCCGTGGAGTGCGTCTTCCTCAACAGTCCAGTGTGCTCTGGAGAAGCTGGTGGCAAGAAGGCTCTTGAGACATCATATCTTATTCAGTGCTCCTTCTTGGAGTAGGTCTGGATTTTCCACAGGAAAATTGTTGATATCAACCTTTTTAATCTAAGGTGTGGAAGCTTTCAAATTCTAGATCTTTTCTGATGAGGCAGAGGGAGCTGCTATGTAAGTATGAGGAAAGCAGGCTTTCTGGGGGAGAAGGGAAGAAAACAATAGCTCAGCCACCATCTGGAAAACCATGTTTTTGCCAGGCAGAGTACAGACAGGATTTTCCACCCTCCCTGGCTCCAAACTCAGCAAAGAAGCTGAAAGTGCTGAGTTAGGTATTCCACTCCACCCCTGAGGGCCCTAGGTCCAGGAGGGTAAGCATATTTGGGAGTAGTTCCCCAAATTCATATTATAATCAACCTATTAATAGGCTGGCTTGGTCCCGCCCCCAGCACTTTGGCTGTAACTTTTCTTCTGGGAGGCTTGACTGCCAAAATGAGCGTTCCCTTTGGCATCAGTTCAGGAGCTTGGGGGGGAGGTAAAAATTAAATTGGAGTCCCAGAGAATGTGGTGCCAAGTCTCAGATCGCTGACTGCTCTCCTGCTTCTGGTAGGAAGGGTTGCCGCGCAGGGGGAATGCTTTATGGTTGTACGTATAGGTAAAGAGCAGGGAACAGAGTAGATGCAAAAGAGAGGTCAACCCTGGGAAAATGCGAGAGGTTGAGTGGGGATGCTGGCGAGACTTTTGAAAGCAACAACAAAGGGAAACAAAGGTGGGGGAGAGCGACAGTAGATAACTTTTCAGTTGAAAGGCTGATAGTTTTGTGAGCTGAGGCTTTGGATTTGCAGGTGAGGCTTTGGTTTGTCTCCACAGATAGGGATACTGACAGCACCTGTCATCCGTAGTTCAGTACCTTCTGGATGGCTCAAAAACTATGTAGGAAGGATCTTGCTGCAGAAAACCCTCCTTTTCTGTATTTAGGGTGCTAAACGTATTCCCTTCCTCTCCGGTGAATACTCTTTCTCCACCCTAGAGCTTTGCTAGTCTAGACAGCTCAAGAAAATGAATGGCTTCAAACACGTCTGGTAATTACTGATCTTATACATAGACTGAATGTTGGGCTCCAGCATAATCTTGGTTTTTGGAGGTTAGAAATGTTTCAGAGTGGGTCTTTCTCCTCCCTTTTGCTCATCCTTGCAGTAAGGATACAAGGAGCAGGGCTATGACCGTTCAGCCCGACACATGATGAACTAAGTACTGAGAGCTTTGGTCTGCTTTTCTGACCTTCCTGAGATGGGCTTGCCTTTATGAACCAGCTGGCTGGGAAGCTAGTGGGGAGGCCTCTGTACACCTTTGTAATCAGGGTACAGCTTTTGCAGATGGCTGTGAGCTGATTGATGTTCTCCGTCCATCTAGTCAAGAGATGCTTAGTACTCAGAAATAGCAGCTCTGTATGGAAAAAAGTCTGTTAGAGCATTGCCTGTACCCATGTTACCCATCTGCATTTGGATGGATGTTTGCTGAACTGTGGTTTAAAAATCTAGGAGGGGAGCAGCTGCTTCCTCTGAAGAGCCTGTAGGATACCTGCAGGAACTATCAGTATCATATTGAGAAATCTCATGGCTTGCGTGTGCTCACAAAACAAAGTAGATGTGTACATGTTTTGTGGAAGGGGAAAATATTCAGTGAGTCTCCCCGCTGAACTGGAGGCAGCAGAGTTGGCGTTTCTCAGGTGGTGTGTGAGCCCTTGCCTTTAATACAAACCAGAACTGAAACAGAATTGCGTGGTGGAAGCTGATGCTGCTTTTGACCCAGCTGCTTTGGCTTGGCAGTCTTCTATCTGTTGAACCTGTTGCATATAAAACTGATCTCTAGG